TTATCTTTCATATTACTACATGTAAACAGTAGTGTTAGCTACTTTGAAGCACGTATAGCCTATATTTAGTAGTCACGTTCACAGCAGAAACTTCCATTATCCTCTTAGAATTCAAATATTTTATGGTTTCGTTCATCAAGGCATATTTGAGTAAATTTTACATTTAAGGATATTTGTGTAACTGTAGCATATGATTATGCTTGAAAAAAAAGAGTAAAATGTACTGATACTTTTCTGTCAGGACATACATTTTCCCTTATGGAAATACGGAAATTAACAATGGTTTTACTATAGTAAAAGTGCAGTAACCATGGATTGATTGAATTTCATTTCAAATTTTTTTTAACCCACAGTTTAACTACAAATGTATGGTTAAAAGGTTAGTGTAATAAAATCATGGTTCATTTGAATGTGTTTTCCGATAAACCTAAAACACAAAGCAGTGCACAATTCAAAATACATCATATTGAATTTACATACACTGTCCCTAATTTTTTAAGTTTTTTTAATTAATTAAAATTTATTTAATTTGGAGTGTAGAAATAAGCCTTACAAACCGTATCCATTATATAAAATTGCAATGTTAAAGTTAAATAACAACGTTCCCTTTACTTGAGACAACAAAAATCCCATATATATATACTAGGCTATTTAATAATAGTTAAAATTTTAAATGGGCAATATTGTGCTGAATGTAGAACTTGACGACAACAACAATAATAACTAAGTACAAAATAAAAAATCTATATAGAAGCTGGGCGTGCTCCTCAAGAGGACTATGGTATTTTAAATTTATTAAAGTCTTATATATTTTATATTTGCAGTTTTTCAAAGTACAACTGTTTACATGTAGTAGAAAGGTAAGCAAAAGAAATTTAATAACTTAATACTGATCTTCATTATGTTATGTGCAGGAAAAAAACACGAACTTCTGTGGAGAGTAATGTTCGCATAGTAGGTGGCGGTAATGCACCTTAACGTTGGATGCCACCCGCCATAAAACATGAAGAAGAAGAAGAAGAAGCGTAATGTTCACGCTGCGCTGTTGTAACTGATCAGCGTCGTGCTGTCAGTTCGGTGGCGCTAGTAAACACGATCTATTTCGACCTCACTCAGACCGTCACCACGGTCTTACCTTGAATGACACCATTCTGCTACCCTTTCCGAGACCTAATATAAACCAAGTCAGGTGACTGACCCTGAGTGGTTGGTTC